CTAAAAGTGGGCAGTTTGCACCCATCTAGAAGCACTGCAAAAGAAAGATTCAACAAAGATTACAGACAAGAATGTCCTACAGTGCAATTCTACTCAATAACGTATGGGGTCTCCATGAGTTGGAACTGATGCTATAGCAAGGCATCGGTTTCTTCTTCATTAAATCATACTGATGCCTTTCACATGCATTGTGCATATAACCCTCACAGCAGCCCTGTGACATATGGTTATTAGTATTTCTCCTTAATGAATGGCTTGACAGAGGTGTCAAGAAATTAGGAAACATATCCAGAATCATGCAAAGTGCAGGCAGAGATTAAGTGCCTTGTCCATAATAATACATTGATGTTAAGGGTCATGGTAGTAGAGATACAGATGAGGGGAAGGAGGTGGAAGATGAAGAAGAAAGGGACTAAAACAGTGAGTCAGAAAAACCAGTATTTCTTTTGAAACTTTTCCCATCAGGTGCAAACCGGATTTGGAAGGTTGGGCTCTCATTTCTGGGGCTTCCAAACCCACGATGTCCTGCCTGACATTGTCACCATGGCTAAAGGGATTGGGAATGGCTTTCCCATGGCAGCAGTTGTGACAACTCCAGGTAGGACTTTTGGGAAGTTTATGTATGTTTCTGGGTCTTCTGCTTTGGTGATGGCATAAAATACATGTGAACCTGTGTGCATTGGAGGCTGGGATGGGAAATACACAGGGCATTTCTGAGCAAATGAATGAGAGCAGTCTGCGTGCCCGATTGTAGAACAGATGGAAAAAAAGACAACCCTTTCTGCTCTTGCTATAAGACCATCCACTTCCCACTTCCACAATGAAGACAAAACAAAACCAACCTGGAAGCTTCATTGGGGGTCATATTCTAGAAAGAGAGGCTTATTTGGTCTTTCTACATCAGTAAACTATAGACTTAAGGTCCAGAGTAACAGAATATTCGTCAGCAAAACACCCAAATACAGATCTATGTGATTAGTCAGAACATTCCAGGAAATGAACACTAGAATGAACTTCATGACGTTTTCCAGAAAGATAATATTTTGTGAACCATTTATTGTTGAAAATCTTAAATTACTTAGTTTGTTTTCCCACCAACAGTAAGCATGCTGCTGAGAAATGAAAAGACAATAAATGCCTGGGATATCTCAAGGAGTCTTGGTGATAACGTAGTTAAGTGCTGATCTGCTAACTAAAAGGTCAGCAGTTTGAACCCACCAAGCACTCCAAGTGCGAAAGATTTGGCCATCTGCTTCCTTAAAGATTATAGTCTTGGAAACCCTCTGGGCACAGTTCTACTCTGTCCTACAGGGTCATTATGAGTGAAAACCCACTGAATGACAGTGAGTTGGGGTGGGTTTGTGATGTCTCAGCAGTGTTATTGAATATATTGTTAGCAGCCACTGAGTCGACAGAGTCCTGGTATGGGGCTGTGGGTTAATGTGCTGGACTGAAAAGTCACTTTGAACCATTTGGTTGGCAGTTCAAGCTCACCAGCCACTCCGTGGAAACCCTACACAGGGTTGCTATGGGTCAGAAACGACTCAATGGCACTTAATGCCAACAACATTGAGTTGGCAGTTATCCATCATGGCACCATCTTCCTGCACTCTATTAGACAACAGTCTGCTGTAATCCACAGGATTTGGACTTATCATAAGTAGACCACCAGGCCATTGTTTCTATTCTGTCTTTGTCTGGAACCTCCCCTGAAACCTATGCACCATGGGTCACCCTGCTGGTAGTTGATATGCCATTTGGCAAGGCTTCCACCATCATAGTAATACACAAGTCACTATAGTAAGACAAAAACATGATGCATTAAATGAACCAAGGTACAAAAATGTAGATATAGTAGATGAAATACCATAGAAAGATATATTGTGAAACAACCTAGAAATGATGGCACGAAACCCTTGATGTGAAATTGTTTTCATTAATTGTTTTCAAATCCTTAATTCTTAGTTCTAACAGCAGAATACAATAAAACTGATTTAGCTAATTGAAGCTTCCATGGAAATTCCCATAAATCAAGTTTTTAGTTTGCACAATACATTAAAGATTTTGTTATCAAACCAAAGCTGTTTTCTTTTATCCACTATCAGGGAGTGAAGAATGAATTGGAAATGAATCCATTTATAACATAAAATAATCATAACCCCATTTGTGTAATGAAAATTTATGGATAGGAATGTGTCATTTTTTAATGTCTTTTCTTGTCTTCCCCTAGAGATTGCCAAGTCTCTAGCTAAGCACCTCTTTCACTTTAACACTTTTGGAGGGAACCCCATGGCGTGTGCCATTGGCTCAGCTGTGCTTGAGGTAGGCCTAATTATCATCACCTGCTATACATTTCAAAAACACATGTTACGTAATTTAAGGGGAGAGTGATTACTAGCTCATGAATTTAAACTAATGGAATAATAAGGTGGGGGTCATATCTAACCTCCTGCAGCTTCCAGCTTCACAAAGAGGAGAATCAAACTCAAAGTCAGCCCAAGGCCAATTCCGATGAAGCAGAGGTCAGACATGCCTCCAATCTCCAACCTTCTTCATCCTATTCTGACACTAACCAACCCTCCCACCGCACTTTACTTCTCTGCTGGGTTCAATAATTCATAGCAATAGCCACACAAAAATTACAGGCAACACTTACAATTATGAAGTTTATAAGTGGTTCAGATTCAGGATCAGAAACAACTTAGGATACAGTCGTTCTCCAGTTAGGAGCACTTCTTCTCAGCCATACCATAGGCATGCCTCTTTCATCCTCAGCCTCTCAGCCATGTGATCCCTTACCCTCTGACCTGCTAGGTTAAGTGTTACAAAGGTCCTTTATCCCTGTGGATAAATAACCAAAGGGCACCCCATTCTGCAAGCCAGTCTCCTGCCTGAAGGCACTCAGCCTCACTCAGTCCATAGGCTAGGTAATCCAATGCTTTGTCTCTCCATGCTAATACCTGTCTGCCACCTCACTATGCTGGAGTCATGGGCTCCAAAACACATGCTCTGCTTGAGGCTCTTTCTGTTGGTCATAAAATATACATTTCTGCTTCTGTGCTGGCTCATTTTAAACCCAGAAGAATGGCAAATGGGACCAATCCTTGTGTTAGAGTTTCACGTACTCTGTTTGAATGGTTCCACTTAATTATATGCTGACCAAATAATCCAATAAGCTGGATTATATGAAGAAAAACATGGCATCAGGATTGGAGGAAAGCTCATTAACAACTTGTGAAATGCAGATGATACAACCTTGCTTGCTGAAAGCCAAGAGGACTTACATACTTACTGATGAAGATCAAAGACCATGGCTTTTGGTATGGGTTGCACCTCAATGTAAAGAAAATGAAAATCCTCACCACTGGGCCAATAAATAACATCCATATAAATGGAGCTCTGGTAGCATAGTGGTTATGAATTGGGCTGCTAACCCCAAGGTTGGCAGTTCGAAACTACCAGCTGTTCTGTGGGCAAAGATGAGGCTTTCTGCTCCTGTAAAGATTTATAGCCTTGGAAACCCTGTGCAGGGTTGCTATGAGTTGGAACCGACTCTGTGGTACTTAACAACAACATATAAATGGAGAAAAGATTAAAGCAGTCAATGGCTTCATTTTAGTTGGATCAACCATCAACACTCATGGAAGCAGCAGTCAAGAAAACAAAAAAGAAAGAAATAAAACGATGTATTTGCATTAGGCAAATCTGCTGCACAAGACCTCTTTTTTTTTTTTTTTTTTAAGGTTTTTATTGTGGATTGAGTGAAAGTTTACAGGGCAGATTTTTACATTCAACAAATCATACACCTTGTTTCATTATA